TATAAGTCATATGAACACATGTAGTATTGAATTGCCATAGCATAAGATATATGAACACATGTAGTATTGAATTGCCATATCATAAGTCATATGAACACATGTAGTATTGAATTACCATAGCATAAGTCACATGAACACATGTAGTATTGAATTACCATAGCATAAGTCATATGAACACATGTAGTATTGAATTACCATAGTATAAGTCATATGAACACACATAATATTGAATTACCATAGTATAAGTCATATGAACACATGTAGTATTGAATTGTCATAGCATAAGATATATGAACACATGTAGTATTGAATTGCCATAGCATAAGATATATGAACACATGTAGTATTGAATTGCCATAGCATAAGTCATATGAACACATGTAGTATTGAATTACCATAGCATAAGTCATATGAACACATGTAGTATTGAATTACCATAGTATAAGTCATATGAACACACATAGTATTGAATTACCATAGTATAAGTCATATGAACACATGTAGTATTGAATTGTCATAGCATAAGATATATGAACACATGTAGTATTGAATTGCCATAGCATAAGATATATGAATACATGTAGTATTGAATTGCCATAGCATAAGTCATATGAACACATGTAGTATTGAATTGCCATAGCATAAGATATATGAACACGTGTAGTATTGAATTGCCATAGCATAAGATATATGAACACATGTAGTATTGAATTGTCATAGCATAAGTCATATGAACATATGTAGTATTGAATTGCCATTGCATAAGTCATATGAACACGTGTAGTATTGAATTGCCATAGCATAAGTCATATGAACACATGTAGTATTGAATTGTCATAGCATAAGTCATATGAACACATGTATTATTGAATTACCATAGTATAAGTCATATGAACACATGTAGTATTGAATTACCATAGCATAATATATATGAACACATGTAGTATTGAAATACCATAGTATAAGATATATGAACACATGTAGTATTGAATTCCCATAGCATAAGTCATATGAACACATGTATTATTGAATTACCATAGTATAAGTCATATGAACACATGTAGTATTGAATTACCATAGCATAAGATATATGAACACATGTAGTATTGAAATACCATAGTATAAGATATATGAACACATGTAGTATTGAAATACCATAGTATAAGATATATGAACACATGTAGTATTGAATTGCCATAGCATAAGTCATATGAACACATGTAGTTTAAGAAAACAACAATATATAATATAAATAAAACACATTCCATTATAATAAGTGTTTTTTTCATATCGGATAGTTCCTTTGTTTTTAATTATCTTTATGTTCATGCGTCTTGATGGGGAGAGTACTCAACAAGGCATGTGTTGGGAATGTCAACCATCACAAGTGATCTTTTCTCTAATTGATATGAATCAGTATGGCAAAGCACGCTATAACTTTTCTCTTTGATGGTGTACTGTGGCCCGGTATAAATACATTCTAGATAATGTTCATAGATAGTGTTTAGAACTGTGATTAATTTGAATGGATTCGAGGCTGAACTATGAAAACTAACAACACCTACAAGAGCACAGATGATGATCATGATGTCATCTCTGTTCGTGTTCATGTGTGCACCTGTGGGTGAAATATTTACAATTGAAACAATCCCTACGACAAGTATTGTAATTCATTAATTGATTCATTCTCTATGAACGAAAAACCTGCTTTCATTGTATATCATTAAGGCAGAGCAGATGTTTCACTTTATTTTCCACTGTGATAGCACATACGTTCTTCCTTATGTCGGCAGTGGTAGTTTTGTAATCTTTTCGTATTTGTTTTTATAATGTCAATCTGACATGTGGATTAGGGAAATATTCATGCGATGTTTACAAAATCTCTTTAAATTACCCTTACCTGGAACCATTTCCCTGTGATAACTAATTTTTAGGTTAGTATTTTGCAACAAAATGTAGTTCAGAAATAAATTGTTTATATATAGTGTGGCTTTCGGAGTTGAATTCCGGAGTTATGATGTGTGGTGGTGCATGGTTCTCACCTGGGCGTTGAAATGTCGCCCAACTAGTGCGTAAACTATATAATAACTCGACGTCTGCAGTTCACACGCTTTGGCGTTCTATACGTCATTTATATTTTTAGTAATACTGCTCAGCTGTAGTCGGTCGCCTTGGATCTTTGGAATTCCTTTAATTGTATAAGTGTAAAGGAAAGTAATACATATCAAAACAATTACAAATACGTCTTGTCTATTAAGCTACAAAATTTCGTCCAACAATGTAAACAATTTAAT